TGGAAGATTTTAATCTGCCTCTTCCTTCATTACTAGAAGAACGCTCGCCTTTTATTTTATGGTCTAAGCTAGTTTATCCATGCACCACGAGACCCTCTGCCTATGGCTCGAAACCAGATGCAAGATATTTCATCTTATCGAATGAGTGCACTCTATTGTACACCTCATCAAGAGTGAGTGTTTCACGACTGTACAAAATTGTGTCTCTGAAAGATGAGTATGAATGATGTAGTGAACACAAGAGGATCAACCGTAAATCTTCTTGATCATACTTCACTTTTAAAGTCTCTAAATCAGAGACTATTTCCTTGAATGCGGTTAGGTGCTTTTCAAGAGACAAACCTTCTACCAACTTGAGCAAATAAAGACGTTGTTTTAGGTACAACTTGTTGCTCAATGATTTCTGCATACATAGTTGCTCCAATTTCGCCCACAAAGAAGCAACCATTTTTTCTTTCAACACATCCTACAAAATTTGGTTTGATAAGTGTAAATGGATTTGAGTATGACTTTACGATCCTTACGCTTTTCTTCATTCGTCCAATTTGACGAAGTCTCCTTAACAAACTCTTCCAATGCATCATCTAAGTCCAATTATGCAAGGACATTCTAAATATTTACCCGCCACAACGAGAACCTGGTGTTTTGATCTAACATCGATATAACATACTTTATTATCGTCATAATCTTGAGCCCAAAGTTTTGATATCAATTTGTTATAATATCGAAAGAATTATCGATAAACAAATAAACAAGATTGAAAAAAAAAACAAAAAACACCAAGATTTACGTAGAAAACCCAAAAGGAAAAAACCACGGACAACTGAGAAAAATTTCACTAATACGAGGGAAGAAAATACAAAAATATTTTGGTAAAAAAAACTTGATAACTAACCCTTTACTCTTAATATTCATTAATAAAGATAAATACTTCATTACAAAGGAAAACTAAATAATGTAGAAATCTACTTTAATAAAGTTATATATTTTTAATCAAATTAGTATTCTTATTTTCCCAAATTTAAATATTAATTTTTTACACTTTGAATTCGGGTCAAACTCTAACAAATTTATTATATTTTGACCTAAATTATAATTGATAATGAAGTTGTATTTTATTGTAATTCTAGTGATTAAAGATTATTTGGTAATTAGTTTATTTAATAAAGTAAATATTTGTTTTAGGGAAGAATTCTTATGGAATAAGAGTTCTTGGTGACAAAGTATTTGACTCTATAAATAGAGATTATGTATTAGTCTTTAGGGTAAGGTGAGATAGAATTATTTTGGAAAGATAATTCTTTTTGGATCTCTGTAACTTTTGGGGCTTATATTGTAGAGATAGTTTTATAGTGATGTTCGAAGAGTGTTTTTGAATATACAAGATTTTGATATCTATATAGGGATACATGTGATATAATGTATTTGTATTATTCATGTTCTCTATGTTTATAATGGATTGTTGTTCATCTTGCCAAAGAGGTATGCAATGGCGAATCACATTAAATCTTATCTCATGTACATGTTTTATTCTATGTTGATGTCGCTTTGGTTATTTTTTCCACTCTCAAATTTCTAACAAGTGGTATCAGAGCTATGGTTCAGGCTGTAAAGTTTTGAAGGAATTTGTTACTATATATTGTGTTAGCGATTTTGGAGATATGCAAGATAAATTTGCTACAATGAGTTTTCAATTGTAGAGAAGTAATTCTCGATTGATTCAGTGATACTTCAATGTATATTCGGTAAGAATTGAAGTTGTTGAAGACTTGAAGGACAATTTTTGATGAAATTTAGGTCAAGGTGGAGATTTGTTATATTTTTACCTAAATTATGATTGATAATGAAGTTAGATTTTATTGTAATTCTAGTTATTAAAGATTACGTGGTAATTAGGTTAATTTAATAAAGTAAATATTTGTTTTAGAGAATAAGAATTCTTGGTGACCAAATATTTGACTCTATAAATAGAGATATGTATTAGTTTTTAGGTTAAGGTGAGAGAGAATTATTTTGGAAAAACATATTTTTTTTTTGGATCTCTGTAATTTTTGGGGCTTATGTTGCAAATATAGTTTTGTAGGGATGTTGGAAGAGTGTTTTGGGATATACCAGATTTAGATATAGGTACAAGGTTTTGGGATATATGTGTGATATAATGTATTTGTACTCTTCGTGTTTTCTACGTTTATAATGGATTGTTGTTTATCTCGCCCTTGGAGGTAAGTAAGGTCGAATCACGATAAATCTTATATCTTGTGCATTTTTATTTTATATTGAAGTCGCTTTGTTTATTTTTCCACTCTCAAATTTCTAACAAATCCACATCCAGCAACAGACATCTCAAAAATAAAATCCAACAATAGAGAAAAAAATCCAGCAGCAAGGGAGATTTGTGTTTTCAATATCAGAAAGAAAAAAATTACTTGTCATGAAATAATTCTTTATAATGTCGTTATCCTTTCACATTGTTAAATTTAGATTCTCGTGAAATGTTTTTTGTTGGAACTATAATATGAAAGAATATGGAAGAAGAAAAAAACGCAAGAAAGAACAACAACGAAGGAGGATGAATCCTGAGTTAGAATGGCGTGTTGACAAAATATTTAATGACATGTAAATTAATGCTTATTTGACATAATACTATTAATTAGGAACCGTGACTGATGTGGAGGAAAGGGTTCACTTAATAATTTCTCTTTAATTTGTGAATGTTGGATGAACTCTATAGTAATTAAAATAATAAGCCAAGCAAGATTCATTAACTGAGTCGTCAAGAATGCTCATATTATTCCACATAGTGTGGATTTTAATCCTAACATTTGCTTTAGGAATATAAACATGTCTCTACTTAATCAAAAAATAACAAGTCAAGCCAACAAGTTTGACCTTGTGTGTAAATCCATCCTTTATTTTCTAATATATATATCCGAAGATGATCTTTGGAAACTACTATCTCTCCCAAGAGAAGGTATAAGATAGGCTCCTCTGCCCACCAGAATTACTAAACGACGACTTCCAAGGATGAGAGCATCATTAACCTTTAGATATCTTATATCACATAGAAAAGACCTTTGACATTTTCACGTGATTTACCAGAACGTAATCCAAGGTCTGACAACCAGATTTGTATTGCTCGTTAGTCTAAAAATGGTCATAATGATCATACGACTAACACACACTAAATATCATTATAAATACCCGAACTAAATACCCGAACTAAGATTGGAAGAACTAAAAGAGGGACTGGAACCTTCTACAATCTAGATACCATATCTTTTTCTTTATGACAAACTCTCTTTTATAGAAAAACATCGACCAACAGTCGTTCCCTCCTCGGTCATGGCTCTCCGCTCATGAAAAAGAGAATTAATCGAGATCTCCTCTAAAAATTGAAACAACCACCCTTACCCTTAAGCCTTCTACTAAATTTTCTCCTCAAGCGTCAGCCATTCGCGACCGAAAATCACAAATTCAACCCTCATAACTTGAATTCATTAGCAAATTACTTGCAAAAATGAAAGTAACCACCACATGAGCTTTGCTAGGCCAAATTCCTCTTCGTATGAGCATTGCGGAGCTGGTGTGGTGCCACTAATCCTGAAGCTTACTGAACTTGTCAGTCAAGAGGCGACGAAAACCTCCATCATTAACATTAGTGACACCTTGAGCGAGGGCAATGTCAAAGGATTAATAGAGTGTACGAGGGAGCATCTTTGGAGCCATAAGGAGTCACACCTCGAATGATGCTGCATCGAAGGGTGACATGGAAAAGCATAGAAAGCTTCCACAATGACCCTTCACAATTACCCTCCATATTGCCTCATGGGCATCGTCAAACAACCAACAACAATTATGAACTAACTCAATTTTTGGTAGGAACATCCCTGACAAGATACTCTCAAACTACTCCTAACTTAGGTATTTAGTATAGCGTCTCCTCTAAAAATAACATATAATATTCGAACAACTAATATATACATACATTTTACTATCTCAGAGTAACCAATCCTTTAGTATGTTTCACTATCATCCGTTGTGTTGTCATAGCAGAGACGATCATCATGGTATGAGCAAAATTAATTTAAGTAAGGATACATATGTCGCAAAGATTTCTTGACTAGATGTGGTCATTATAAGTTTTCAGTGATAATGTTCGAGTTCACTAATGCTCTAACGCCGATTATGAATCTAAAAATTTAGGTCATTTATAGTAGTCAGACGTTTACAGTTAGAGGACGATGGATTGCTAGTTGAGCTTTAAGATGAGCTACATTAAGTGTGTGAGATAAATGAAGTTTAGAGATTTGATTAATTCAAAATATATCAAGGGAAACATTCACTAGTCAATGAGATTGTGTAAAGATATAAAGTTGGTGGTTGATGAAAAGATCGTTAGTAAGTTGTCACCTTTGATAAGGTGTTGCACTTGGATATAAGAGTAAGTTGGGCACATCGAGGAGAGTCGTCGAGGAATCATGAGATCCAAATAGATTACTTGAGTTTAGTGTTTGAAATTGTTCCATTTAAGAAATTTTTTGGATGAAATTTTATTTTAGGTGAGAAGAGTTGTAACGACAAGAATTTGAGTCTATGTTCGAACATTGACCTAGAATTTAATTGAATATATTAATTTATGTATAGAGATCCCATAGGTCAAATGTGAGTTCAATCGAATGGAAATTGAACATATGATTTTAAAAAATATATAAATAATCACTTTAGTAATTTCGTGTGACATTTGAATTCTTCGAATTTAAACAGGATGAGATTAAAGGATTACAAATTTAGTACCGCGAAGGAAGTATGTAACATTGAAACGAAAGTAATAAATAAATTTGTTTTGCAAGTGTGAAAAGAGAAGAATGTTTGAGGTTAGGAGGAAGAGGATGTAACTGTAAGATGAAGCAGCTGCCTTTAATAAGCCTAAGGCGTAAGGCCAGGCCTGCCTAAACTGGTATGGACTTGTCATCTTCAAATAAACCCTCACACCACTTTAATGAAAGAAAATAAAATTTCTCATTTAAGAATAAATCCTTTGTATAACAAACCCAAACACTCATTTCTCACCAATTTGGCAAGCCCTCACCATTTTCTGTTCATGAACCAACTTCATATATCTGTGGCTTGAGCCGACGCATTCACTTTTCTCCTCCTCTTGGGAGACACGTTCTCTGAGGCGGAGGATGACGGCTCAGGTGACGCCCTCTTTGACGTTACCCTCACTGGGTCAGGCTCCCCGGAGTTCACCCTCAATGGAAAATTCAACAAAGCCCTCGACCCACGCATCCTATAAGCTGCTTTATCATAAGCCAAAGCTGCATCTTCCACCTTCTCAAATGTACCTAACCAAACCCGAGCCCCATTCTTAGACGGGTCCCTTATCTCAGCTGCGAACTTCCCCCACGGCCTCTGCCTAACTCCTCTGTAGTGCCTCGCTTTGGCCAGAACCACCGTATCTACTCTTATCACCGGTGTCTCTACTAAAATCTCTTGGGGCTCCGGTTTAGTGGGAGTGAAATTCACTGAAGTGTTATCGGAGGGAGCCCATCCGACGGTCAAAGCATCTCGGAGGATCCCGAAAACGAGCATGTCTTCGGAATCGTTTTCTTTGAGAGGGAGGTCACCCCAGGTTTCGGTCAAACAAGGGTACAAGCAGCTGAAGCTTGAGCTCCTGCAAAACGTGGGGGGAGAATCCGTAGAAGCATTGAGTCGGAAGTCTGATGACTCGCCGAGTAACTGACGCCGAATTGAGTCCAACATGGCTAAATCGGAATCATTGCTGCTGCACGGATACATCTCCATATCGTATGCTGTTAAATCTCAAGTAACTTAATAATTTCTGGGATTTGATTGAAAGAAGAAGAAAATGAATAAGAGAATAAAAGGGATGAATTATGAGAAATTAGGAGTCTGAATCTTTGCATAGCAGTGGAAAAGGGGGTTTATATAGGAAGTTAGATACATGAATTTGGAATTTTTATACTTCATTTATTGTATTATAATAATGGCGGGATATTTGTTTAATAAAGTGTTTTTATTTTTCGAAATTCCTTTTCCAGACATGTGCTATTTTTTTGAACTTCTTATTGTTTGTCGATTTTGCAGGCCTTATTGCCCACTTGCACGGCTGCTAGTCCCCGAGTACAAATATCTTTTATTATATACTAATTAAACAAGATTTAATCCATTTTTTTATTTTTAGAAAATAATTGAAGATTGGATGACTTTAAGAGCTTCAATCCAACCATTTGCAAAATAAATCAACATTTTCAAACATTTGTTACATTTTTATTCTACAGAATTATTAAATATTTTAAGTAATATCATAAATTCAAATTTTGGCGTTTGTAAATAAAATAAATTTAATTAAAAAGATCATTTTCCTAATGTGTTTCTGTAAACTCTAATTAAAAAAATAGATTAGTAAACCAAATATCAAGTATTTAAAAAGTCAAACCTATTATTATGTAATGAACAAATGCTACGTCAAATAGACAGAGACCTTGCTTGTCCAAAACGGATACATTGGTCTTAGACAACAACAATAATAATGTTTGGATAAATATGGGGATGGACCCACTATTCCTCAAATTGTAATTTTTTATTTACTTTAATATGTTCCTTCAAGGAAGGTGAGTTTATAGTGGTACACTTGATTATAACACTCTCGTAGTCCTCTTTTCCCAATCAATTAAACTAAAGTATCAAATTGGAAATTGGCTGCTGAATGAGACTAACGTCATGAGATTTGCGTCATTACAAATAATAAATCAAAATTACTTGGGCTTTTTATGAAGAAAGGAAGATGTTGGATCAATAATAGAGATGTTCAAAACCGGATACCCCGGATATTCGAGTACTAAAATATTGGTCCGTGTTTCGACCTATTAAATTTGAGCGCTCGTAAGTTGGATACATGACCTGAAAATTTAAATATATTCATTATAAATACACGCTAATTTTAAATCAGATCGACAAATTAATAGATCGAATCATCCAAATCAAGTATTTTTAAACATCCCTAATCAACAACGCACATGGTTTCTCCTACGAAATAATCTTAATTTATATAAAAACTATCCTAAAATCTCTAACAATGTAATCGTCATTTCATTCCAACTCCTTAAATGATGAATCAAACTTATTTTGCTTACTTCGTTAAATGGCTACTCGTTTTAGGGTTGAATTATCTCCAAGTGTATTGAGTTATTTTTATCTCAGTTTATAGCTACGTAACTAAGGAGTCGAGATGCCACCGCTTTAACGTCGAGATACATTTGCCCTGTTTCTATTTAACGTGATTGGTACGTGTTTAGATGCCTCCACATCCACTACAATGTATTACCACAAAGTAGCATCCTCTATCTGATTGAAAAGTATTTTTATGCCTCACAGTCTTCCAAAACTATATAATTACATCCTAAAACCAGTTGAAAGAGTTGAGAGCCTTTAACGGGTTTGAGATGCTCCCACCCTAGAACTGTTAAGATGCCTTTGAAAAACCGGATAATGTAGCGACACTTCTCACTCTTACTATTATAGCTCGGAAATAAAATGGTTGTCCCTTTTTCCCATATGTATGAGGTAAGGGGAGGTAAGATAGTAGACTGCCCCAACACCAGGTTGAGAGCAATTTCCGTAAGAGACCTCCGAATTATGAAATATCCTCCGTGGGACTCGATCCCACGACCTCAAGATTAAGAACCTTGTGCCTTTACTACGAAGTCCATATGCCTTTACTACGATATCGAGATATCTTTACCCTGTCAAGGAGAGAGTTGGTTTTCCTACATTTATTTTCACCATGGCAAAGATGCTTCCACCTAACAACTATATCTTCAAGGTTGACGAGATGTCTCCTCTCTGGTTAGGACTTTGATAAACTTCCGCACTACCTATTGCTATAGTAACTCTGCCACTTCTACTGTCAATTGGCCCAAAGAGTTCAGATGCCTTTGTTACCCCTCTGCAGCTTCGAGATGTTAATATATTCTCCCGAATCCTCCGCTTGAGATGTCCCCTTTCGCTTGAGACATTACATGGAGCATCGAGAAAATGATGTAGAAAAGACTTTTTCTTCCCTTGTACCACCCATCTCGTTTTATGATTAATTGCATCTAGCATCGAGAGTCTTTGCACGAAGAAGCCTCTACATTACAACATGACGGAGATGCCTCTGAATTGTCATAGCCTTGAGATCCTCCCTAAGTAACACATTGTGGAGAGATCTATGCTTATATTAATACCAAAGTATCAAAACACCTATGTTTACATTTATACCTTAAGCGTCAAGACTGTTTACCTTAAAATTTCTGGAGTAAAATCACTTTTTCGAGATGAATAACTTCTACAATTAACATGAAGCAAATAAAATTTCACTATACACTCGTCGGAAGATTAAGGATAGCTCCACATTAAGCATTGAGACACTACAATACCAACTTAACATTAAAAAATCTTCGAACGACATTTCATGAAAGATGAAAGATCTCCTAGAAAAATAATGAAAACACTTCCACATAACATATTCTAGAGTATGGATAATACATCTACACCTTTACTAAGTGTAGACACCCGTTTTTGTCCGAGTATTTTTTTTATATATTATTTATATTTAAATTATTATTATTATTATTTTATTATTAATAATTTATTTACAATTTACATTACATATTTTGCAGGCCCATATTACCAAGTAGACCCAATTACAAGCAGGCCTACTCAGACAACCCAGCACTCAAGACCCACATCCCGACCCGATACCAGCCCAACCGAAGCCCACTCGGCAACTCAATTGGAACTCGCCCAGTTCAGACCCAGATGACCCGATTCGGGCCTAGATCCGTATCCCAGGATCTGACCCAGCCCAGTGTAACACTCTAGGGTTTCTGAAACCCTAGAGGTCTACTGCCATTCTCCACTGCTACAACTGAGTCTCCCATCACATCCACCTGCTTCAATCACCCATCCATCGAACAGTGACCGGTTTCCTGCCACAAATCATCCATATCAATCAAAAAACCCATTAAACAATGAAAAACAAATCTCATCAAATCCAAGAGTTATCAACATGAGTATAGGGATATCATTTCATACGGACTCAGCCATCCATCAGTTAGAAATCACAGAAGAAGCATAAAAGGAAGATAAGAAGACAGAGAAGGGATTCGATTTTGAAAAAAAGGGGGACAGAGAGAGAAGAGAGAGGGATTTGAGATTCAGGTGGAGAAAAAATACAAAGGAAAAAAACAGAAGAAAAGGGGAGAGTCTTCAAAACAGTGAAAAAAAGAAAAACAAAAAAAATCTTAGCCAAATTGAAAAAGAAAAACAAAGAGAGCCAAATACAAAGAGAAGCTGAAAATAAAAGAGAGGGAGAGGGTGTTTTTACCTTGATTCGAAGTTGTGGAAGCCCCAAAGGTCATCGTTTTCTAGATCTTTCGAAAGGTATAACGCTATATCTATGCCACCGCAAACTCCACAGTGGCTCCCTCTCCCCGATGAGGGGAGGTTGAGAGATTTATGAATCTCTCTCTCCTTCTTTGTTTCTAAAACAAAGGGGGAAATAGGGAAAATGGGAATTGAGCCCGTTGTTTGGGCTAAAATACACCGACCGAAACGACGTCGTTTCAATGGGGGGTTCTCCGTGTTTTCTGGTGAGGGGCAAATAGAATTTTTCAGGTCCTTACGTCTTTGTAATTTCACCTTTTATTCATTTAATGAACATTTTATTTCGTTTTATTTCAGGCACTTATTTTATGAATGTTGTAATTTAGTCCTCATTGGCCTTTAAACACGTATATGTATATATTTTTGATTTTATTCGAATTTGACCCTAAAATTTGTAAATGTTACATTTTAGTACTAGTTTGCATTTGGTTTAATTACTGTTGGGCCCCTTTATGTTTTTATTTATTTCATTTTAGTCCTTATTGTTATTTTTGGGCTATTCTCATTTTTAGTACTTGTAATATTTAATATTTAGACTCTAGTTTATTTGTAACTTCTATTTTAGCCCTTTAATTTTTTGTATTTGTATTTTGGTCCTTAAAGTTCTATTTTTTTCTATTTTAGCCCTCTAGGCTTCTGTTTTTACTATTTTTGTAACATCCCCAACCCGTATCCGACCTGAATACGAATCCGAGGTGTCATATTGACTTTTCAAAGTACACAAATTTGTAAAACCATAGTAAATTTAAAACTTTCATTAACACAAAACTATATTTACATTACTATGTTCAAAACATTATACCTCGATCAGAGAGCACACACTATATGACTCTATTTAGAGGCCAACACATACATTACATACGTGGACATACTGTATGAGATACTTCTGATATGATCTTTAAATGATGATATGCTGCTTTGCTGCTCCTAAGACCGGTCTTCTTGCTTTCCTGTACCTATGTGTAAATCACTTACACGCTAAGTCATAGACTTAGTGAGGCATAACCTATAATAATAATGCATTTCTTATGAAGCTGAACATGCAACATAACATTTAGAATTTCTATATCAATTCATACAATTCACTATAAACAATATTGATACTATAACATGTAATGAAATACACACTTTTCACATTATTTATAGGCTCATGTATACACTGAGAACTTAAGATATTTGAGTAGATAGAGGTTGTGCACATTTGCTGTCACCACAGCTCGTATAATTTTCACTGAGTGGCATATGAGATTTGTCCCGAAGGACCTATGAAACCCTCGACTCTTGGCATGCCAACTATACTTATTGCTCTCACATTATATAACATGGGCATTAATATTATATTCCATATAACCATGTACTTGTATCATTTCCCTTGTAATCACATATATCTTTTCTTCCATCACATTTCCCATGTGCATGTAACCATTAATCTCATATCATGTAACATAAGTATTTG